TGGCAGAGTTTGAAGTATGATTCTATCACTTCCAGCTAAGTGACCTTGAGAACATTTAAACTCTGCGATCCTCGGTTTTCATATCTGTAAGATGGGAATATTAATAATAATATCTATCTCTTATGGTTTATGTCTCGTATCAACACCTGCTGTGGAAAAGCCTGTCATGATCACCAATATTTGCAGTTTCCTCTACTTCCTGGCCACCCTGCTAGATTATATTTCCCAGCCCCCCCTGTGGTTAGGTGCGACTGTGTGACTGAGTCTAGGCCATGGAACTACAAGAGAAGTGACCTATCTGGCCTGTTATATCCCTTCCATGTTTGCTCCCCCCACATTCCATCAACCCGTGTTGTGAGGAAGAAACGAAGTTTGTTTGCAGGGCCATTGGCCTACCCTGATGTGCACCGATATGTAATAAACTCTCAGTTAAAGTTAGCTGCTATCTGGCCTAACCTCTCTGCACCGGTGTTCTCATCTGTATAATGGGGTGAGAGGATTCAATGAAATAATGTATAATTGGACTTACTGGCTTAGCTTCTCTTTGATCACAGTTATTTCATCTAAATGCTATAAACTGGGTCATCATTACCTTTTTCTTGAAGCAAGATTATCCAAAATAAAGCTCTTGAAGGTTTTAAAAGGATGACGTGTGAATTCGCAATGTTTAGGTGCCAGTTCTCATGGTGCCATTTTAACTTGAATACTTCCCAAAATCCATTAGATGATAGGTTAGATTAGGATGTTTCTAATTTTAAAAATTAATCAACTTATTTTTGTTTTTTAAATTAGGAAATCTTTTAAAATACAAAAAGAAAAAGATAAGTGCTTATATTCTCACAACTCAATAAGGCCAATTTTTTCTAAAGAAAGAAAGCATTATGGATGAAACTGAACAAAACAAAACAAGAAGTGATGCATCTAAAGCACTTTAGCATAGTGCCTCCATATGCAAAGCAGTCAGAAATTGTCAGTAATTTTTTTAAAGTTTTATTTTGAAATAAGTTTACATTTACAGAGAGTTATAAAGACAGTGGAGACATTTCTTGTATACCCATCACCGAGCTTCCTCTAATGTTAACTTCCTACATAACCATGGCATATTTATCAAAGAAACTAAAATTGGTGTACCACTATTAACTAAACCACAGACTTATTTCAGGTATCACTAGTTTTTCTACTTATGTCCCTTTTCTGTTCCAGAATCCAATCCAGAATACTATGTTGCATTTAGGTCAACTAATTTTTTAAAATACGTTTTTATTGATTTTAGAGAGAGAGGAAGGGAGAGGAATAGAGAGGTAGAAACATCCATGAGAGAGAACCACCAATCCATCGATTGGCTGCCTCCTGCATAGCCCCTACTGGGGATCAAGCCCACAACCCGGGCAGGTACCCTGACGGGGAATCGAACCTGCGACCTCTTGGTGCATGGGTTGACGCTCAACCACTAAGCAACACTGGCTGAGCTATGTCAGCTAATTTTAATCGTTCATTCATTCAACACAGAGAGTGCTACCAACTTTTTGTCTGAAACTGGGGGTTCTGAGTAGCAGACGATGCCAGGAGCCCCTGTACTATGTATTATGACAATAATCACAGGTCTCATTTTTGAAAGCTTGCCACATGTTGTACAAAGAACTTTCTATCTTCCCTACTTAATCCTTACAACAATCCTATATATTGGTTATTATTACTCCCATGTTACACAGGGGGAAACCGAGGTGTGGAGAGATTAACTGAGGCCTCACACTTGGTAGAAGGCAGAGGTAGAATTTGAATCCAGGTAATCTGTCCAAAGTCATGCTCCTAACAATACCCCATGGTTTTCATGAGGCTGCTCTAAAAAGAGGGGAAGTAGATGCATCATCACATGCTTTCTGGGGCAAATGTAGCAGGCAGGAAGGCTTCCTGGTGGGGGCACCCATCTGGAATTCAACCTCCGTTTCCTGGGGTGCTCTGAAAAATGTTTGGCTCTCCCACCACTTGCTTTCTTAGGGCTTCCCTCCCTCTTTCCCCTGCAGCCCTAGATTAAGCCTATCCCTCAGAGCCCCAAGAAGGTGACCTGCTGAAACTCAAGCCCCAGGGTGTGGCTCTGTCTCAGCCTCTGGGCACTCCACCCCAGTTGGCAGAGGCAGGTGCTCACATTCATAGACCAGGATGCTGATTTAGAGATTGGCTTTTGGAGCCACTATTTTGGGTCCCGCTGACAGTGCATGAGCAAGAAATAGCAACAAGGGCTTAGTTGTTAGGCAGAGGGGGGGATTCAAGAGAATTGAGGCAGACTGGGCTGCTAAGCAGGGACTAGCTTTGTCTGCTCTGGATAATTATAGGCCTCAACAACCTGAGGACGAACTGAGAATGGCCTTCAATTCCTAGATTAGAGAGGGACTCTGACTGGTTGGGCACAGCAGCAACAGCCCTGCCATCTCCCAGCTTTGGAAAAGGCCCAGAGAGCACCTGAGGCAGCCAACAGCCAGTGGGGCTTAGGGCCAGCTGAATGCTGCGGGGAGGAGAGCAGGGGAACTGACTGGGCAGTGCCTGCCCTTTGAGGCTGGAGCTCAGAGATCTTAGATCCAGGACACAGCATTCCAGCCCCATTTCATCTTCTCTGAGTTTCAGTTTGTTCATCTGTAAAAATGGGGCTATTGATCCCTGCATCCCAGACCAGGCGACCTGTGTTTGTGCAGTTTATAAACTGCAGAAAGAGTGAATGGGACTAAGACGCAGCCTGCACTCAGCTTGCTCGGTCGAGCACCCTGACTTGGAGCTCTGTTTTCTTGGGAGCTACAGATACCTTTTCTTTGACCAGCTTGAAAGGCTGGTTTGCTCAGACGCAGCACCTTTTTTGATTTGCACAGAGAAAAAGCAATTGCCCTCTGGAAACAGACCACATGGCAGAGAAGGGCAAAAGCTCCTCAAACCCCCAAAAGAGGGCAGAGCTGGCCCCAGAGAGCCTTGGTGAGGAGTGAGGGCGGGATTGTCAAAGGTGGCCCGAGGGTACACGGTGAACTGGGAAGGGCGCGTAGGGCAGCCAAATGGTGAGGCGCATGCAGGAGGAGCTGGGAGGAGAGCAGGCACCCGCCGGAGGAAGGCCTAGTCCAGGCCTGAGCTAGGATCCGCTCCCCCTGGTGGCCTCTGTGGACAGGGCTGAGTGGCAATGGTGCCATCTTGTGGCTGCTGGACCATGGAAACAGAGCAGTACCTGATGCTGGGTCAGAGCCAGAGTGTGGGAGCCACCCGGAGGGACACGGAGCCCAGGCAAAGCCCGGTGAGAGACAGCACTTGGAAGGGAATGATAAGGCACCAGGCGATTATAATTCAGAGTGACAGGAGTATCGTAAGAGGTGATGGACGTTTTGGTAGCCAGGGAGGAGCACTTCTCTCAGGCTAGGGGGTCTAGGAAAGCTTTCTGGGGAGACATCTAAAGGGAAGCCTCAGGGAGACCACAGTGGAGAGTAGTGAGAGTGCGGCATTCCGGTGGTGCAACTGGAAGCGTGTGCAAGTTACCAGAGGTGCGAGAGGTGCATTCTGGGAACAGCAGGTGGGTTGAGGCTTCTTAATGACGTGGCATGTATGAGACTAGAATTGCAAGCGCCGTACGACTGGGGTCTGAGTTCTCAGGTAATGAGGCTTCTCTATACTTTGTCAAGGCCTTTGGACTTTGGGGGTTGTAAGCAGAGGAGGGAGTTGACCAGATTTTCATTTTAGTAAGATGTTTGCATGCCGCATGGAGATCAGAGGGGCCAGGCTGGGGGCCAAGCTTGTTGTAAGAATCCAGGGGAGAGGTGAGGCTGGCTTGAACTTGAATAGTCGTGACAAAGATGAAGTTAAGCGAGCAGATCCAGGTTGTGTTTAGGAGGAGGAATCGGTAGGCTGATTGGATGGGGGGCAGGAGTCGCTGACTTGGGTAGCAATGGCTGTCCCGCTAGGAAGAGAAGTGAGTCAGGGTGGGTTTGAAGTTCAAAGGCTGTGTTCAAATAAAGGTGGCCAGTGGGATACAGAGGCTTTGAGCTCAGAAAGGAGACTGTGCCAGCCATAGGGGTCTGGGAGTGATCAGCCTAGAGATGTGAACTGAGGCTGTGGAAGCAAGAGGATCCCCCAGGAGGGCAAAGACCCCAAGGGGGAGAAAAAGTGGAGGACAGAACCCTGAGAAACCTTGACCTTTTTGGGTCAGTTGGAGGAGGCAGGGGCTAAATAGGGGAAACCGGAGAGGGAGAGGGAAAGGCTGCCCATTTAATCCTCGTGACACCTGGTACCACTTACAGGTGAGGAATCTGCAGGCTTTATATTGTTTTACTAGGCCACAAGCACAAAGAAACTCAGAGCTAAATGTTTTGCTCCATCACATAACTGCCCTTCGCCTAGGATTTCTGGGGTATCTCCTCCCCAACTCCTATCCTCTTGTTTAATCCCCATGTTTTCTAGGTGTCTGTAATTTTATAAGCAGAGTATAAATTAAAAGATTGGTGGGATTCAAGAGGTGCTATTTGCACACAGTGAATTATTCTTGTTTTTGTTTTTTTTTTAATTTTTAGAGAGGAAGGAAGGGGGGGAGAGAGATAGGGAGAGAGAGGGAGAGAGACATCAATCGGCTGCCCCCTCCACATGTGCCTGACAGGGGGTCAAACCCGTGACCTTCGGGTGCACAAGATGATGCTCCAACGGAGCCACATGGGCCAGGGCAGCACAGTGGGGACAGTGATGCAGCAAACTTTGGTCTGTATTCGGGCAACCTGGCTCTTGGCTGATGGTATGAGGAGGACAAGGTGGAGAAAGGTCAGCTAGTTCTCAGCACTCGTACCCCACTCCTTCCTCTTGCACCCAAGCTCGGTAGCACTAAATGGCCCTCACCTGCCCTCCTTGCTCAGGAAGCCTTGCCAGGGACTCGGACTCCTCCTCTAGGCAGCGTCGTACTGACCCAGAGCTGTCAAACCTTCTGGACACCGTGGCCATCCCTGGAGTGAGCCACCACCCCACAAACCACCAGAAGGTCTCCTGTCTTTATTATGATGAACTTTTTATTATAGAGACAGACTGAACTCTTTTGCATAAAGAATCTCTGGACTGGGTCAGAAATACCCATCTGCTAAAGGTTACCACCCAGCTCTCCCTGTCTCTGCCTCAGCTAAGCCCTCACTTGCAACGTTCATCTCAAGGTCACTGGAAACAGCAGAGGCTGCTGTCCCCAGGGCCAGGCTGCTGAGTTGGGCCACGCTGGCCGGAGAGTCAGGGCTCCTGGCTGTCCGCCAGGTCAGAGTCGCCCCGTCTCCCGCCCAAGTCGGTTGTCCAGAACCTGGAGCTGCCGGAGGAAACCCGAGTTGGGGCAGATGTCACGGTGGGCCTGCACCCTCTGGATGGCCTCCACCAGGGTCATGTTCTCGTAGATCATGAGGAAGGCCAGGACGACCGTGGCGGAGCGGCTCACCCCCATGGCGCAGTGTACCAGCACGCGGCCTGCAGGGAGACCCAACCTAGCATCAACTACCTGCCCTTGTACCACCCACCCGTGTGGGAATCAGAGATACTTCTGGCCGTCCTCAGCCCACCCATCGCAGGGTCCTGGAATGCTGACACTGTGTTCACTGTCAGCTGGGGCAAATGAGGCCCAGAGAGGGAAAGGAACTAGCTCAGAGTCACACAGCAAGTTAGTGGCAGAACTAAGGTCAGCAGCTGGGATTCCCTTCTCCTGGTTCAAGGTGCTTCCTCCGGCATCCTTTGCAACTCTGGGGAGTGGGGGGAGGACAGTACTCCTGGAGTCCCCTGGGTTTGTGGCAGATTACTTGGGGCATCTACCTGTCTCTCCCCCAAGTTCTGCCCTCTCCCCTGTCCCTCAAGTCCTATGCCAAGGCTTTGTTTTAGAGGAGTCTGCTCAAGAGCCTTTGCTGGGTCCTGTGCATTATGCCCAGCACCTGGTCTCTTACTGAGGGATATGGCTATACTGATGACCACACTGGTCCTTAGTTATGTCTGTGATTGTTGGTTTCCAGGATGTCTCTGAAGGGGATGCTCACTAAGTGGTAGTAGCTATTTACCCCATGGGGTGGGAGGGTTGTTAGAGAGGTTTGTGGTTCAGGACACTACCTATCAGTGCTACTGGAAAAATGGATAGCCCCAGATCTCAACCCCACCTCCACCTCCACCCCAGTCCCTTCCCCAGAAGCTCACCTTGAGGAACACTGAGGGCACTCCGGATGTATCGAGCAACGGGTAGAAAGTAGACACTGAGGTCAAAGAAGGGGTTGTCATCGGCCTCGATGCCATAGTACTCCAAGGGCATTCCGTGGTAGAACTTGGCACCTGTGTCCACTTGAAACTTGCCTGCGGCAACATTCACAACGTGGGTGATGCCCAGCTGGGTCAGCTTACTCTTGTCCCGGGCTGTGTACCTGGAGGGGGGACACGGGGAGCTTGGAATTGGGAGGTGGGGGTAGATCTCCCTGGTCATTTCTGGCTGTGCTGGAACTTGTCCCCTTCCTTCCTCTGCCACCCCCACCAAGGGTAGAGACTGGAACCAGTGAACTGGCCGGGGGTGAAAGGGCTCCTCTAGTTAGAGTTCAAGACTCCCTTGCCGTAGCTGCTTTGGCTCAGCGGTTAGAGTACTGGCCCGTGTACTGAAGGGTCCCAGGTTCGATTCTGGCCAAAGGGCATGTATCTCGGCACGTATCTCGGTTGCAGGCCTCAATCCCCAGTCTTGGTCGGCACACACATGGGTGGGAGGCAACCAATCAATGTGCCTCTCTCATGTCGTTGTTTCTGACTGTCTGTCGGTCTCTCTCTCCCCCTTCCACTCTCTCTGAAAAGCAATAGAAAAAAATATCCTTGGGTAAGGGTTAAAAAAAAAAAAAAGATTCCCTTTCACTTAGGCCAACTTTTCTGGAGAGCATTTTGGCCACATGCATCAAAAGCCTTAAAAATGTACACGTACTTTGCCCAGCAAGTCTCCTTCTAGGGACTTAATTAAAGAAAGAACCTAAGCTATGCCCACAGGCATCTGTAAATTAGATCTAGTGATATTTTAAGATGGTGAAAAACTGGGAAGCAATCACTAAATATCCTTTAATAGGAGACTGAGTATGCGCAGGTAAATGAACTACTATGCAACCACTAAAATTTGGTAGATACAGGTAAACAAGGAAAGGTGTTCATGTGATATTGAGAACCTGTGGAAAATGCACAATACAAAACAGAACATTGTTTAAGAAGGTTTTAAACATATGGAGTATGATTCCATTAAGAAGCTTTCTATATAAAGCAGATTACAAAATGAGATTAGAAAGTGGTATCATTTTTGTAAAAAACAAATGTGAAAACGCATTTATGTATGTATTTTTTAAAAGGCAACGAGGACTTTATTACTTGTTATCTGTAGGGAGGAAGCATATTTGCCATATTGTTAACAAGACACTGATCACTATTCTCTAAATATTAAGGAACATTTCTAAAATCCACATATATTGGCCCATATGTTCTACATTTTAAGAAAATTTTTAGAGAAAATGACTCAGTTCTATTCTCTATATACATCCTAGAGAAACTCGTGTGTGTGTTACCAGGACACATGTACTAGAATGTTCCTAGGATCACTGTTCATAATAGCCAAAAACTGAAACAACTCAAGGGCTTGTATACAAATAAAATGCATAAACTATGGGGTATTCACACAATCACATAGTTACAGCAGTAAAAACAAACGAATGAGCTGCAGCTACACATAATAACATGGGTGAATCTTACGATTTTGAGCTAACTGGCCAGGCACAAAACACACACACAGTATAATTCCACTCATTTAACTTTAAAAGACAGACAAAACTAACTATGTGGTTAGGTAGATGAGTGGTAACAGTAGAAAGAAAAGCAAGGAAACAATTATTTCAACACTTAGTGGTTATCTACAGGGAAAGGGTTATAATGAGGAGGTTTCAGAGGCATCAGTAATGCCCTATTTCTTGGTCTGGGTGGTGAAACTTCAAAAAAAGCTCTGTGCATTTTCCTCATGAGTGTTCTGCTTCCCAAAGTAAAAGAATAATTTCTATAAACGGGAAGAAACATGTGGAAAGAGATTATGAGGCAAAGAGGGTGCCACCCGTGCCCCTAGAGGGCTCTGGGAGAGGCTCCCCTTCGGCTCCCCCACTCTCCCACGTGTGTCCTACTTACGCGTCTCCCAGGAAGAGGTTGGGCCAGACCTCATTGACGTGGCTCAGCATGGGGGCCCGACGGACCCACAGCAAGCGCTGTAGTGAGGACAGCGTCGGTGGCTGGTAGGGGGACACTGGGACTGTTCCGTGGATCTTGGGCCTCCGGAGGTCCTGCTTTTGCAGGGAGTCCATCCTGGAATAGGGTGGACACCGCGGTGGCTAGAGGCTTGCTCCCTGAAGGTGGATCCAGCTGACCCAGAGGCCCAAGAGTGGTGCAGAGCCCAGGTGGCACTGGGATGATGTGAGAAGGGCCTCAGCTAGTTCGCATGAGGTTATTAACCAGCTCGGCTGGGGCTGAGGCCTAGACCCTTTCCCAAGGAACAAGGGAATCAACCCCTTGTTACCCTCTTTCCTGCCCTCTCCAGAAACCCCTGAGGTCAGAAACTTTGGTCAATGAGTCCTTGGGGCTCCCTGTTTGTGTTGATGAGTCAGTGCAGACCCAGCCCTTTAAGTCGCTGGTCACATGGGACTTTGTAGGGATGGAGACTTCAGATGGCTGTGGCTCCCTACAACCTGGGCAGTTTGTCTCAAGCCCCCTCCTCTGCTACTTCTAGGGCTGGTCCTCAGGCCCCCACACCCTCCATTTTCAGGTGCTTGGAGAGCAGAGTCCATCTCTGGAGTGAGGGGCCTGGGCTATGAACCACATTTGTTAGCATTTCCATACTGAATGAACCCTCTTAGGGGCCTGGTGCCTCACTTGTGGTAGGTCCTTATTTTACATGAAGCTCAGAGAGAAATTTTTTAAGTGACACCCAAAACCATATGGCTGATATGTAGCAAGGCTGTGGTTTCAATACAGGTCTGTGATCCTGCACTTCAGTCCTCAAGTCTTCCAGTTAATACCTTGGGGACTCCAGAGAGTGGTCACTAACCCATCCAACTCTGCAGGGGAGCCTGGCATTGCTGTTACACGTGTGCCTACAAGTCCTGGGACTTTCCTCCTTACCCCAACAACTCCGGCCAGCGCTGCAGGTCAGACCTCCCCCAGGTGGGCTGGGTTGTCTCAGGAGTCAGCTGGTTGAGGAGGTCTGGGGCCCTGCTGAGCTGGGCTGTCAGTGGCACCAGTACGTGGGTCTGGTGCCGTGCTGGTAAGGGGTGCCTATCTTGGCTAACTGTCCCTGGCCCTCTCAACCAATAACTAGGGAAGGTACAAACTGGAAAAAACATCTTTTCTTTGGTGCCAGGACCAGAGAGAGAAACAGGCACCCAGGAGGCCACTGGCTTGGCCAAGCTCACCCAGCGGGCAGCCTGTGGGCAGGGCGGAAGTGAAGACCCTGATTTCCCCCTCATTCCCCTCTGCGACCTCTCAGGGCAGGCTGAGTGGCCTGCCACCTACCTAGGGCATGGTCTAGGGCTGGGAGTGGGGGAGTAGGGGCAGGGACAGAACTAAGCACTTGATCAGAATGGGGCTTGGGTAGGTTCCGCCCAGAACACAAATGCTGTGAAGCGGCTAGAATTCCAGGCCCTCCTCTTGGAGTCCATGGGGGTGGGGCCCCAGAGCAGACCTAGGCCCTGTGGAGGGAAGCACAGTCCTTCCAAACCCCAGGCCTTTGCTATGCCGGGCATCCCTTTGGGATTAAAAGCTCTTGGGCCTGGAACTCCACATGGAGATGGGAGGCTGCTACCTGAAGTGGTGGGAAGGGAACTTTAGAGAGAGGGAGGAGAGCCTAGCCACGATCTATGTTGTGGCCTCAGGCAAGTCTTTGCCCCAATCTTGGCCACATTTCTCTTTTCATGTTAAACATCCTGGTCTTGCCTGACTGAGGAGCCACTAGGGGTCTGACCTGAGAATGAGAGAAATGGCTGGGTGTACAGCAACTACAGGGTAGAGAGCCGTGTAGTTAGGATGGGGTAAGCCCCTAAGCCCCAGCGTCATCCAGAAGCCACACTGGTCTGGAGCCCCTGGCTGGAGCTTGAGCCCCAGGCAGGGCAGATGGGGCTTTGGGAAGTCTGGTGGCTGTGTGCAGGCCTCTGAGCTTGGCATGGGGTAAGGCTGCCCCCCAGTGGCCAGTGGGTGCCTTGCAGCCCAGCTGAGCCTGGGAGAGGACAGCCAGGCTTCAGCTGGGCACTGTTCCTCCTGGAGGCTCCTGGGCAGAGGGGAGATAGCAGAAGGATCAAGGATTGGGGGCTCCTAAGCCACAGCCTCCGCCTCAGCCTCCTAGGGAACCTAGGCCCAGGCCTTGGACTAAGGGGGGCTCCTTGTCTGGTCCCATCTAGGGCCTCCCTCCTGATGCTCATGGATGTGTCCCTCACCTGTCTACTCCATCCCACTTTTGCCGGCTGAGTCAGGCCCAGCCCCGTGCTCATTGGCTCATCCTTCAAGCCCCAGAGACACCCAAGGAAGGAGAGTTGGTGGCTGCAACAACTCCCCTGGTTTCTGCCACCCACAGACTGCCAAGGACCCTGCCTGACACTTCCTCCCACATCTCCTCAGCCATCTGAGGGTGAAGCGAGGCCCAGCCTCCAGCAGGGACTGGGTTGGTTTGGCTGTTCTCCCCATTCCCTCTAACCCTCATTTGGCCTCCTTCCTGCATCGCCCCCTAAGCTGAACGGAGGCCTCTGTAGGCAGCAGCTTGCCTGCTCTGTGTTGCTGCTGTTGACAAGTTCAGACACTTGTCTTCTGTCTTTGTATCTCTCCTCCTCTCTGTGTTGCTCTCCCAGTGGCCTCTGTCTCCCGTCCTGTCATGGGAGCTCATGCTGCTCCACAGCCTCCCAGCAACCCTGCATGCTGGTGGCCTCAGGCCAAAGCACAGGTCGTCTCAGGGCAGGGGGCAGCTGTTTGCCACCCACCTCCTCAGCTCCAGCTCCAGCTCCAGCTCCAGGAGATATTCCCCCTGCTCTTCCCTGCTGCTCACTCTCTCTGCCTCTTCCTCCCCACCAGGCAGACCAGGTGGGACTGTGGCCACAGGACAGGTGGGGCTGGAGACCTCTGAGGAGTCTGGTGAAGGAAGCCTCAGAGAGTGGGGCAGGTGGGCTGCCAATGGTGAGCTGCCAGTGGGTTTGTGCACCCAGTGTGCAGACCATGGAGGAGGGCAGACCTGGCCAGAGCTCTTAGGTCTGGTGCTTGTATCTGTGAACTTCTCTGAGCCAGTGTCCTCACTGGGGCTGCTGTGAGAACCCTATGAGGTAATAAATGTAAGGCACTTCCCACAGGGTCTGCCTCATAGTAGATGCCCAATAAATGGTGCATCTTACTGTTATCACTATTATTATTATTACTGTTACCCATTCAGACCTCAGCCATCCTGGGTAGGAGGTAACTTTCCCATGGGACCGTGAGGCTTGGTCTTTATCTCTGTTTCCTGATATCTGTTTCTCTGGTGATGATAATTATTATAGTCTCCACTTACTAAGGATGTACTATGTACCAGCCAGAGCTAAGGGCTTATATTTTCTCATTGTATCCTCACAGTACCCTTATGAGGCAGGTAATATTAGTATCCCCATTTTACAGGTAAGGAAACTGAGACTCAGAGAGATTAAGCAATATACCCAAAGTCACATAGCCAAGAAGTGTGGGAGCCAGGATTTAAGCTCAGGTCTTTCTGACTCTACCATGCTTTGTCTGACCCAGTCTATCCCCCAATCTAACCCAATCCCTTCCCTGCCCCCACCACAATACACACAGGCAATGGTGCCCTGGTCCTCATTACCCAGCAAACTCTATGTCTCCCCCACCCCCGAAATAGGGCCACTCACCCACCTGTGGGGGTATCTGGCCCTGGCTGTGGTCTTCTCTGACAGGCACGGTGTGCTGCTGACTTCCAGCCGCTTGTCTCTGCACACTTGATGCTGTTTCTATTTTTGATTTGAGTTTAATTATAAAGCATGATGTGCTGCTCCCCTCTCTGGCCTCCCCCTGCCATTCCCCACTTACCCACTGGTCCCATGGCATAATCAGTGCCACACCCAGACAGGCACCTGGCCCTGCTTGAACAGAGGCAGGCGGCAGGAATATGCCTGAGGCATGCGTGTATGTGTATATTGATTGTGGGGCAGGGAGAAGGAAGATGGAATAAACCATTTAAAAGCTCCTTTGGTGCCTTGGCCAGTTTGGCTCAGTAGTTAGAGCATCAGCCCACGGATCCAAGAGTCCTGGGTTCAATTCCTGGTCAAGGGAATGTACCTGGGTTGCAGGTTCAGTCCCGGCCCCAGTCAGGGCATGTAGGGAAAGCAACCAATCCATGTGTCTCTCTCACATCGAATTCCCTCCTTCCCTCCCTCCCTCCCTCCCTCCCTCCTTTCTT